TAGTTCTGAAGGTTTTAAAGTTTGGTTTATTCAAAAGATGCGGAGGAAGTAGCCAGGTTACCGAGATAATGGCTATGGAATATTTATGGACTGTGAGTAGATTCTATAAAGGAGAAGGGCGAGCTATAAGGATTCCAACGATCTATTGGGAACGACGATATGTTATATCTGAGTCTATGTGAAAATGGCGAAAATAAAAATCCGTGAAATGTTTTAATAACAAAAAGAAAGAAATAATTTTCGTTAGTGGTTATAGTGCTCTGCACGATCCGATCTGATCCAGTCTTATCGTATAAAAATAGGTGAAGGATCGGTTCGGTCCAAATCAATATTTTTTTGAATGATTTTGGTCCGGTCCTGGTTTAAACTATAATAATTTCGGTTTGGTCCGGTCTCTAAAATATAATCAGATCGATCCGGTCCGGTTTGGACCAACCGGTCTCGATTAGTTTAAAATATACGGCTAATATTATGACTTGTTTCAAATCTAATATCTATTGAACAATGATTTAAAACTATAAAGACATTATTTATAGAATTAATAACACGAATATTTGATTATGGCCCATAGGAATCAATATTTTACCCCAGCAACGTTGTTTTATATAAATTGTATGTACTATCATGTATATTGTATGTATTTCAAAGCTGTTCATGGTACCTATTGGCTATTAATAATTTATTATTGAACATATTTTCAAGAAAAATTATTATTGTTCTCGTTATGATGCGGGTAACGTGGAATATTGTGGAAGTGCCACACCGCACCGCGCCGTCCAAGTATATAAATGTATACAACTGCCAATGAAATATTCGCACATTATGATCTTAATTTATATTAATTATAGTTTATCTATACATTATTTTGGGGAAACAGAGATTGGAAATGAAATGTGCACATCTAATTTCTATCCATTCTTGTCGATGATGCCGTTAAGCGGTAATACTTGGAAAATAATTGATTAGTCAGGCCAGATAGCAAGTAGTTCGATATTTCCACGTAAAATTCTTTGTAAAAATAATTAATACTTAATAATGAGATAATCACGAGTATAGTATAGTGTAGTATATATACCTAATATACCTATACTAAAATATAAATTTATCATAGTCTATTTTCACGGTGCAATATTTTTATAGTTTAGATCGTTTGTCCGCTCTATCATATTATGTTATACTTGGGGTCTTGTATGGTAGAAAAAAAAATAGGACCGTGGTCCGGTTCGGTCCGGCCCATAAGCTTTTACAGTCCGAAATTTATTAGTTCGAACCGGTCTCGGTCCACTCTAATAAATTATTTTAAATTTTCAGTCCGGTCCAGTTCCTAAAATTACGGACCGTACATAACAGTAGTACATACTTTTATAATCTAGTAATACTAATTAATCAATAATGTACTGTTGTACTTTTGCGTCTTGGATTACGTATTAAAGATAAGCCGTGGTTAAACCTAACTGCTACCAAGCTTTATTATATAGTAAATAATAATAATGCTATGCTTTATCTAGATAACCAATGTCATTTTGTACTTTTCAGTCCTATAACCTATAACCATTACCGAGTTATCCGTTAACATATTCATACGTAATGCATTTGTAATGGAGTTTATTCAAAGTCAAAAAAACGAAAATTTATTAAAATATAATGGTTATTTGTACAGATTTGACAAAAAATATAAATCTACCATGTATTGGAAGTGTAATGAAAGCCTCTGTAAATCACACCTTAATTTAATAAATGTAGAAATCGTTAAAGGAGCTAATGAACATAACCATACCATATCGAATTTAGAAACTGAACGGCGTATTTGTATAGAAAAAGTGAAAATTCGAGCTCTGTCACCTTAAGATAATCTACATCAGATCGTTTCAGAAGCGTCAAATTCTTTTATAATATTTTTTATTTAATTTTTCAAATTTTTTTTCATATAGGGATAATAGCATATTTTAATGGTGTATTTTATCTACTTACACATTATAAGATTAGGAAAAATATCAAATTTAAATGTTATTTTATATAGTATTTTGATTTTTATGCTTATTATTACTTATTATATTATAAAGGTAAATCCACTAACGAAAATAATTTCTTACTTTTCGCTATTAATGTTTTTGAGGTTAAAATATTTCGCGATTTTTATTTTCGTCGTTTTTTTTCCGCGATTTTTACTTTCGCGATTTTAACTGGCATCCGTTATATGTAGATAACGACGGTTGTGACTTCATTAGGTTGATTATCAACGACCGTACTGTTGGGATCGGCCATATTTTCAGTTACGTCATAGAAATTGAATGTAAAATAAAATGTATTTAAAATCGGTGTATTTTTGTTTACTTGTTGAATGTTAGGTGATACTGAACTAATGACATTTTTAATTAAATTACCGTTTCTACCGAAGGTACCGAAGCAGATGTTAAGACAGTATTTTTTGTGAGTGTGGTCTTGATTTTGTTAGTAGCCGGAGATTTACCGGCATGGTTTATAACACCTGAAGACGACATTAAAAACTACTAATTAAATTATAAGTTTATAAAAACCAGATTAACTATCAATGAGATGCTTGAGACGAGACGCAATTGTACGCTGCATGTATACAAATGACGATAAAAAATTAAAAAATAATAAAAATATATTTATTATGGTTTATTAAAAAGTGATTGTTTTTTGGATCTCTTGTTGAACATACGTGCCGGGTAAGATAAACAATTTTAAAGTATAAATTGAGGCATGAGACTCGTATTTGATATTTTATTATACCAATATGAATTTTATTTCATTCAAAGAACATAAATACTTTAAAATAAAATTTAAAAATATGAATGCCATTGACAATAATATGTCTTTGAATTTATAGAGCCTTCCCTAATTACTTCGAATTAACCGAAAACTCTGATTGATATTAGTATGTCTTTCAATAAAAATTTTCATTCAAAATACAATTTTCTTGAGATAATCTTCAAAATCGATTTTACCTTTGTACTTTCAGTTTATTTTATATTAACTATAGGCTTTAGAATATTTCACTCAATTAAACTCATTTGTATTTACATCAACCGACGGCTGCTTAACAACATCCCAGACAGTATAGAATGGTGCAATACATAGAAATTCGTCAATTGTTGGATTGTTAATAAAATTGAATTCTTAATTGCAAAAGGATCTAATTTCTCATATTAGGTTTAACGATACACTTGGAGAAATATAGTCGTGGTAGCAACATATTTTATGTTTTCATGTGAACACACAATTTACACACATAACATACGTTATATAAATGTTGTCATATATATATTATTATTACATTTATGTTTGAATTTCATAATCTTGGGTGAATTTCAAAAACAACAATAAAGCGTTTCCATGATAAAAACATGAGACTTGAAAAATTGTTCTTAAGCAAAGTGAAAACTTAGCCCATCAACGGGTTATTTATTTTGATACTTTGATACATAGTTGAAACTTTTGGACTTGTTGTTTATAATTGATAGGGAAGTTTAAGCACAAAACAATTAATGGAAAACACAACATTTTTTCGTACAAACTGTGTTTATTGATAATTGAAATTAAACAGTAATATAATCAAACGTTAATATGCTGCATGAAACAAAATATAATAGTAGATTGACTATTCAACCAAGCCATTCTAACAAGATAAGTTATTTTGGTATGATATGCATAGACCAAGGCAATGATATCGTTTTATAACTTCCGTATTTTTTTATTATAATTATAGAAAATAATTAAATTCAAAATTTGAAGATTATAATCTATAACTGAATGTTTTATTTCATAGAAAGATTTTTTTTAAATATAATTTTTTCTAATAAAACCTAGCATTACATTTTTTTTTTTTTTCAATAAAACCTTATATTAGATTTTATTACCATGTTTGCAAGCAGACTTTTCTTTAATATTATGTGCAATAATTTCAAAAATTAATGAAATCAATATCATTGTAGGAAAAACTTTTTCAATTTCATAACAGATAAATCCATTCAAAAAAAAAACGATAATATTAACTGATGAATTATTATAAAATTCCAAGTATTTTAATTCAAGATTTAATTTTCCTATATATTCTAAATATGTGTCAGGTAGAAATAAATCTGAAATTTTTGTTATGACTTTTTATTTCAAAATTGTAACACTGTTATTTTTTAAAACAGCAATAAAAAGTTTTTTATGATCGTTGTTCAAGTTTCATATTAATTTTATTATTATTTACAAAGTAATATTTAAACAGTTTTATATCTTTAGAGTAGTGAATTATTCACCATGCTAAAAAAACCGTGGACAATGGGTGGATATAATACGCTGCAATATAATTTACCCTACTTGGCTTAAAATATTTCTTAAAAACTCAAAAAAAGGTAATAATATACATTTATTCTATTCAATATTCAATATATATTACAAAATAAAATCGCATCATCTGCTGAAAAGTATTTTTAACATTTTTGTCAAGCGTAAAAATAATTAGACTCATGATTTTACGAACAGTCTTGTTGTATGCTCAACATTTTTTTTGCATCATTTCCTAATCAAGTGATCAGATACTTAGTGTCAATATTTTAAAAGTAACATATTTTATAAAGCATTTTTTCATAGAACTCTACTAAAAAAGATTAAAAAAAAAAAATTGCCTAAATATATTTATAGAATTGTTTTTGATTTCCTTTATAAGATTTTTTTTTTTAACTTAAGTGTAATGCTGATCGTTGTGTAAATATTTGTTATTTTATGTACTTATATTAATACAATTTAAAAAGTAATTTATGTAGAAACAATGTTTAAATAGAAAAAATATATATATACATATATTTATACGAGTGTCATGAAAACCATGAACCTTGATCAAATATCTATATTTAAACTGTTGATTTATGTTATAAGCAGTATCGTTATTATAGTGTTTTTGTGTACACAACTCTAATCGGCTCTTTAGTATCAATAATATATTAAAACACTACTGCACGTGATATCCAAATGATCAATCTTACCGAATTGCTGTAAGCATTTGCCGAAAAGCTTCATAAAACCAGTGCCCAGCTGTACGAATTCCAGTCGTTTGTCCAACACCAAATGCCACGGAAAAGCTTTGCAGAAACTCGTTACGCCCATTTTAAGGTCACAGGCTCGATGCGACAAAGCGATGGCGGAGTCTTTAACATCTTCACCAACTGCTGCGGTCCTAATGGTGTATCTGAAATTGTAAAACAGTGATCAGTACAATGACTAATTCATTATTTCCACTATTCATGTTATGCTAGATTAAAAAACCACCGAGTGGATCAGAATTTTGTGTACTCGTATATCGAAAGTGAAATTTATAAATTTGTGATGTTTCAAATAACATCACATTTCTGTTGTTATTATTAACAAAAGCGAAAATATCAATTGAATTAAATGTGAACATTTAACCGTTACGTATTATTGTTATACGAAAAACCGTTAGTAACTAAGCGTACAACTGTGAAAACAATGTTTTATCACGATAACACTTGTCTTTATTACGAATTTTGAACTTCAAATGTGCGTTGGTTCTCTTAAATCTAAAATAAATGTGCAACGATCTAAATCGTTTTTAGTACTACTAGAGCGAATAAACATTTTAGTTTTTAAAAAAAAAAACGTCACATTTTTCGTATAAAACTTTTTACATTAATTATATTTTGTGTAAACTGCTTCGCCGTGTCGAATGAGTCATAATGTAGAAATAACGAAATGTAATGAATCGTACATTAGATAACTAAAGTCAAAGGATGTAATAAAATAATACATATTTTTATCGACTTGAATAACCGATTTATGAACACAAAATTGTATTGCGAACAGAAGAAAAAAGTTTGTCATAAATGATAAATAAAAATAATTTATGCTGAAAAGAATTGTAAATAAAAGCTTCCACGTGGCTCTTTCTTTGAAACGAAACGTTTAAATATTCAATGGCAAAAATAAATTTAAGTCATTTAGGATAATCAATGACCATTGGTCGCGTTCATTAAATGTTATCTACGGGGAGAATATCGGGTAACATATAAAATATTCGTCATATCTTTGATACTTCCTGCTTTTCAAGACGATATAAATATTAAAATTTAACAAAAAATAAGAATATTTCGATATCGCAATCACAATAATGTTACAATAAGAGTTACAATGCTTTTTTGATTTCGTCCGTTCGCGCATCGACGACTCAAAAAATCATGTTCGTCGCACACGGTCTTTGCTGGCGCGTGATATTGATAACGATTATCGGTCGTCGCCGTCGTTGGAACTGGCCACCTGGTTAAGTTCGTACCGCTACATACATTGCCTGTGCGTGTATCGTTTGTCGTGTTGTCGTGGTGAGTAGTGATGTTAAACTGTGAAAAATATTTATCACACTGTGATATTGCTACTGTGATAAAAAAAATCACAGTGAAAATAACAGAGATTACTACTCTACTTGAACTGCTTCTTTCTATTTTTCACGTACCTATGGCGATTTACATGTTTACTTTACACTATCAGAATATCACAGTTAGTCACGGTATCACAGTAGTCCATAGAGTTAGAACGTTACTCTATTTAATATTTAGTCATGATATCAGATAATATTTACCTAATGTAAATGTGGCATAATATTAATCATTATTCATAATTCTAACAGAAGAAGAATTCGTAATTATATATTACTTTTAGGTTACTGAATTATTTTTCTATGATAAGAATTTAATTTTTATACAAACGCACACTGAAATTCCTCCAAAATACATATAACCAATTTTATTGAAACCATATGCATATTTTTATGAACATTGTGAAATTATTGTTTTATTTAGTAAATAGTTACAAAACTAAATTACGTCAAAATATAAAATGACAAGTGGACACTTAAAATATTTCTAAGAATATTAGAATATTTTTAAAGTACACATTTAGTAATTAAAAATAAAAATTCATATTAGGAATCCAAAATATATACAAATATAGTATAAATATCTTCAAATGTGTACAGATAGTGTGGATTTTATTTGCTCTGCAAATGTACTTATTTTATAACTAATAACTTTTCAAATGAAGTAATTTCTTTTATAAAAAAAAAAAAAAAAAAAAAAGAGAAATATTAAAAGCAACTGCATTTTATCAAACTATTAAATTTTAATATTATTTTTAATAAATGTTCTAACATTCTTCATAATTTCTTCAACATTGTCATAGCCAAAATAATAGCATTATATTTTATACTTTATCGCTATTTAAAGGTTCTTATTTATCGAAAGGTAACATTAAATAACAATATTAAAGATATAAAGATGATTTTCTTTATTTAATTTTGTATTAACCAGAGTTCTTAAACTACAATTCAAAGTTGATTAAAATAAATAATTAAATGAAAAAATACAAAATCATAATTATACAAAGTGCCTCAGGGTGATTCGATAAATGAAATAACTTTCGTTATGTTTGTTATTTTTATTTAATTTTTTTTTTTTTTTTTTTTTTAATAAATACTTAGGATCTACGTAAGAACGAAATTGTATTAAATGAACTGAACTTTGAAAATTTGAAATATGAAATTATTGTTCTAGGGTTCAAAAATAAAATCCAAAATATTCATTTTATAAATCGGATTTTTAGAAAAAGTGTGGTTTTAAAATCATTTTTTAAAGTTTAACTCATTTATTATGAATTTTAAAGTTTTTAAAAATATGAATTAAATAATTAAAATAAATATATGTTCTATAAAGATAAAATTGGTGACAACTATTAGTTTTTCAAAATTTATTTATGTATATATATCATGTACGTAATATAAAATATTTTGTGTATTTGAAATTTTATACAAAAATAAACAAAATATTAGTATCGTTATTATTGAAGTAGACAGATAAGAAGGTAATTGCCTTATATATTAATTCATTTAATATTTTTATTTATAATTGTAAAAAATGTTATAGTATACATTTTATATTGGTTACCTTCGATAATAATCGTATAGATCTATGGTTTAAAAATGATAAATTAACACATTTTGAACTTTACATTGTTCTAATTATTGTTTAGAAAAGTAAGAAAAATTAAAATTGAATTTTCCCCAAAATTTTTGGTATTTTCATGATTTTTCTTTTTGATTTTAAAAAAAAAAAAAGTTACAACTCTACCAGTTAGAGAAATCCCACAGTTTTTATCTTATCCTTTCTTTTATATGTACACATTAATAACATTTTAAATAATTTATTTTTATATTTGCTTAATATTAATTTTTAAAGTCCTCTACCCTAGATCCGACTTTAATATCAATGATGTTTTATACAATAGTGAAAGGGTAAAAAATATTGGATTTCTAATATTAATCAAATTGTTTTTTCAGAATTTGCCACATTCACTGAATTAATTAAAAAAAAATTATAACATTTACTGACGGTTTGCATTATGCAGAGTAATTTTTTTAATTTTTAATATATTTTAGTAATTAAACAAATACAGCCAAAAATTGTAAAAAAAAAAACATTCATTAACTTATCTAAAAATCAATATGATGAAAGTGATAATTAATAAACAGGGCTCAGATTTTATAGCATTTCCGTATATATTATTATAGAACATAGGATATTAAAAAAGTAACCCATTGCGTTCTTGTGGTTTATATTTTAATTAATTTAAATTAATTAAAACGTAGTTGCATTTTTATAGATGTTTGTGTTTTTTTTCAATATAATAAAAAATATGTATTTAATAAAACATTGTAATTTAATGAAAATTCCATAATGATTTGTTGATTGTTGTTTAAGAATATGAAAATGTACTTGTCAATTTGTTAATGTTTTTCAACAAATTGTCATTTCTTATATTTTCCTTTCTTTTAATAAATTATTAAAAAGAAATTCAAATTTGATTTCCTGTATGACATAATATAAACATTATTTAATATGTTGAATGAATAATTTTCTTCAAATTGCACTGTACACTATTTGAATGTCACATTTATAAATTGCATTAGTACGTTTTCTCTGGACCTTTGTGATTTTACTCAAGAATAAACGATGAGTGTACCAAAAAACGTAGAATGTAATAAAATTGTAATCCAAGTGATTTAAGTGATATTATAAATAATAATAAACTAAAAACTAAAAATCACACCCGTTTATACTTTTAATTTATTTCGATTATCAAATATCAGTTTTTAATATTTAAGTTTATCTGGTTATTTTGATTATTCATACACAACGTGTGTATTTTAATCAATTGGGGTTATAATGATAAATATAAATTTATAATTAATGATAGTAATATAGTAGTTACAAATGACAACAAATATTTTGGAATAAATTAAATTTCAATCACAATAATATGAGTTATAATAATTATATTATACACAATATATTGTTAACCTTTTCATAAACTTTATAAAAACAGAAAATTAATGACTCTATCATTATTAGATTTTTAAATACCAATATTTTTTTAAAAATTCTGATTACAAAATTACCATTTTTAATTATTTATCAAACTTAAGAATACAATTTAAAATGTTCAAATTTGAATTCTTAAAATTAAAAAAAATCATTTAATGTAAACAAATGTATTTGTATTTGTCAAATCATCTTGGGACACCTGTATATATTTTATATGTATAATATATTTTAATATAACAATTTTATATGTATGTATAACTTGAATGTTTAAATTTATTACATTATATATAATATAATAAATACTAATTATAACAATGTTTTTTACTATTATTTAGTTTTAGCTGATAAATTATTTTATGTGGACTTCAATATTTTCAAAATCATACTGGAAATTATTTTGATTTCTTCGTCAATCTTAGATAGAAAAATCTCGTGTCACAGTGTTTTTTCGGAATGAACTCCGAAACTAATGGACCGATCATAATGAAATTTTTAATACCGTGTGTAATTTGGTCCAACTTATAAGATAGGATAGTTTTCATCTCAAATTTTTTAATATATTATTATTAACTTTTTTATAAATTTACATACCTATGTATAATTGCATGGTGTATTTCGGATATTCCCGTGACTGACCGCGATAGTATCTATATATCTACCTGTAACCTGACCTTTTTTTCTATTGTGTGTGTTTTATCGTCGGCGGCGTGTAGATATGAATAAAAGATAGGATAATTTTTATCTCGATTAAAGCCCTCAATATTTTTGCATTGCAATAATTGTGAAAAATAAAGTTATAGAA